AACTGGAGCAGATTCATTCTCGAAATATCCGAAGTCGAGTAAAAATTCAATATATCTATATTTCTCCTCTTCAATCTCTTCTCCGAATGGAGGGTCACTAACAAGCTATCATATTTTTCTTAGAGGCTTCCTGATTGAAAAATCTGTTGAACTCAGTGACATTTTGGGGCGAATCATCCGATTTGTCCTATCACAGATATATTGTAGAAACAAGGAGAGAAAATCCCATATAATCAAGTAAAATGTAACGGTTCACTTGTAGGACCACCCCGTATAGTGTATATTTTGGGATTCGATTCTTTCTGATGCGTAGGCAACCAATCCTACATCGAATTCAAATCGTCCTATAATTTGAATATTTATTAGCGCCAATCGAGGTTTACCAATACCTAATTGAAGTTATTCTTTTCAATTTCGAGGTTTTATTCACGCATAAATAATTATCCATTCAATTAGTTATTTCTATAATTCCACTATTTTGAAAGTCCAATTGATTAGCGTAGAGTGCAGAAAACAAATATCGAGTAAATTGAAGGAAACATTAAATATTGAATCGGTAATAGGGCCATCAAACTAGCGAGCTGACGTGAGGTACGTGAACTAGAAAATAGTCAAATTTTACATGTGATCAGCCATTTGCTATAAGAAAGTGAACTGAGTAGGCGACTCGTGCTTTGGCAATTTTTGTGAAAAAGGCCTAATAATATTCTAAGGTAATGATTTTACTTTTCAAATGAATTTCTATTCGATTTTCAGAAGATCATTTGTTAATAAATTCAATCATTTGTGAAATTGGGAAGCTCAAACGTTTTTCCTTTTTTTACAGGCCTTTTTTTTTGTGCCGGCATTAAAGGAGACCTACTTCAATATTCAAGCACTTATTCACTTTCTATAAAACTAAATGAGTACAATAATCATTTGAAGCTATACATAACACGAAACTCTCGACGTAACTTCACGCTGCTTCACGTCATCTGGCTACACGTTGTCCACGTCACCGGTTGTTGCGTAACCACCACTCGACAAACTATTTACGTCATCGAGCCACCTCATCAGTTCCACGATCAACACTATATATTAAGGAAGCCCGAGCTGTATAAAAATGGTAGTTAGACGACAAGGATAAGTCCATACTGTTGGGTAACGTAATTATAGCGAGCTGAGTGAGTACTTTTTTCATATCCTGGAAGAGAGGTCGACAAAATAAAGAAAACTTGGTGTTTCATTATATACATATTTTTCTATATATATTGTGAATCGAAAAGTGAATCTATGAACTACGAATCCACTTTTCGTACCTAATCGTTATATAACCTGACGACATAGTATAAGGTAAAATGTAAAAATCTGCAGCTCTGCAAATTTTCCGAGGTCATATTATTGTGTACTTATCTAACATCATCACATTTTGAAATCTCTTTAAAGATTCATTTTTTTTAAGGAATAATATTGTTTTGCACTTATTCTATATTCAATGTTCTCTGTCCATAATAAGGGCTATAATCCTTGTCTTCAACTCGTCTGTAATTTGTTGGTCGTTTCAGTGACGTAATTATACATTTTGTTTTGTGAGTAAAATATCAGTTCCGATTATTTCGAGATTCAGAATATTTTGAGTGTTAAATTTATATTTCTATATTATGATCTGAACTTTATGGTAACCTATTGTTACTATTTTTTTTTCTTCTCCTCCAGATAATTATTTATACTTATCACCAATTTATTGAATAGTGAATTTCATTATTTATATCTTATACGTGTATACTTGTTTAATTTGTTCGAAATCCCCTCCTGTCGAATATCCGACTGGCGCCCACAGCTTACTAATTTTTACGTAACATCTAGTGAAATGAATTCCATCTTTTGATTGTGTAATTAATAAATTTATTTGAGAAAAGTTTCAATTCACGACCCACGATCCATATTCTCTCTGTTGAGCATACAGCCGTGCCTGTGTTGAGTGTAATAGATAATTATTATTATTCGATATTTTGATATTCAATGGATATTTTGATAAAACTAGAGATAAAATCTATTAACGGCCACAAAAATGCATTTAAAATTTGTTCAATGGTTATTGATAGTCACTGTGTAGTTGTTGTAAGTAACGGAGTGGAGGGGAATGAACAAGCAGACACTCTGGCACGACAAGGGGCTTCAAGGTAACTGATCGGACTAGAGACATTCTGCGGCCTTGGAAATTCCTATATCCAAGGGGAACTTGAAAAGGCATAAGGAGCTTCGACAGCCAGACAATGGAGACGACTTCCAAGACTGCGGCAGGCTAAAGATATCATCGGAAATTTCAACCGAGAAAGATCTTAAGACACTGATAAACATCAGCAAAGGAAGTCTCAAAGCAGTAACGGGATTTCTAACGGGGCATTGCAGACTCAAAGAACACCTGAGGAAGCTATAGGCTTACAGGAGGACACCACCTGCAGATTCTGTGAGGAAGAACCAGAAACACCCCATCACATACTGATGGAGTGTGACGCTGTACATACTGGGAACACACCAGCTGACTATGGAAGAAATACCATAACTATATCCCCTCAAAATCATCTAATTCCTGAAGGAATTGAATCTTGAGGAGCTGCTTTGAACAATAAATCCTCGATATAGCAGGAGCAGATGGGGCACAATAGATCTAATTAGGTCGAAGCGCATCTGTCACCATCCAATCCAGCAATACCAATACCAACAGAATATTTTCCGAAAATAACATGATATTATTTCTGAGTATTTTTTGTATAAAGGCGATTTCGTATCTTTCACGAAACTTCACAGGTAGTAACTCATTTGTGATGTAAAGATATACAGGGTGACATAGAAAAAAGTATATTGTATAGGATACTAAAATATAAAAAAAGTTCCTTTGAACATGGGTCCGTAAGGCCTTCGATTAAAAGATATGGGTTGTTGAATTCGATTTTTTTGGTCATTCTTTGAATATCTTCAGCCAAAGACGCAAGAAATGGATAAAATGTGGTATACAAGGTTTTTTATCATGCTACATCCAAATATGATCTTAGTTTTGTGATGACTGATAGAGGGCGCTACATACAGAGTTCCATCCCTATTGAATCGGTCGTAACTTTTTTGCTATACATTTTCGACGAAAAAAATTTGTTATCGCTTCTCTTATACTTAGGAAAGGTATATACCTTGTCCAAGTCGCTAGAAGCAATGGTTTCAGTAGAAATTCATCTAGAAGCCGACAATGCACGCAAATTATTCAAAAAGCACCAAAGTAACTTTTGCAAAAACAATGATGATTACTTCAACAATTACATTTTGATGGTATGATGAAAAATATGATTAATTAGAACAAAACATTAAGGGCCGGTTGCATAAAGAATAAATAATCATACAATCAACTGATGCCACAATAACTCTGATGTTATGTTGAATGACTTCTGCGTTGCAAAAACAATCTGATGTTATAATAATCATTCCATTAACTAATGACGAAAAGGGCGTGGCAACAGCGCTAATCTCTCTGCCTCTTGCGTTTCGCGCATTGTTGATACGCATTTTAGATCAGGTTTATTTGCTTGATTTTTCATTCAGATTGACAGAAGTTACAGAAATCCTGATTCAAGTATTGAATCTTTGTCATCATACATTCGAAATGTGGATGGTTTCTTTTTCGAAATGTTCCTGGGAATCAGTAGTTCTTCTTCAGATAGTAAAGACAATGATGTGACATTTTCTGTATTACCTATAATAGTCATTCACTTACATTATTGTGTTCATTTACCTACTCTACCTTTTTGAAATGAAACAAGAACTTGTGACTCTAACGTTTTTTTCAGACTCTGCAAAAATTCTGCGAAATAATTTGACGGAACTTCCACAAGTCATTTGCTGGTTGTCAATTTAATCAGTGGTCGAGCACTGATTGAGTTGATGATATGAATAAGTCGATTTGATATGATCTAAAATTGATTGGCCTTTGTGCAACCGGTTTCTCAGTTGGATAGTAATTATCATAAATTAATTAGATGATGAAGTCACCATGTCAAGTACATGATGGGCCTTTTATACAACCGAATCTCATTTATAACATCGCATCAAATATTCGAAGTAACATCAAATAATTGATGAGCTTTCATGCAACCAGCCCTAAATTTTTAGCAGATGTTCAAATTGTTGCCCTTGTACTTCAATACATTTTTCCATTCTTCTTCTCAATGATTGACATCCCGTAACTTTTAAACGAAAGGCCTTGCGAACCCATGTTCATGGGAACTTTTTTTCTTATTTTAGTGTCCTCTATTGTGTGGCACTATGCAATGTACTCTCTTCTCCCTGTATAATTAATCTCATCGTTAATCTCATTGACACTTTTCAACCAAAACTGAGAAATATCAACAAAATATAATCATTTTCAGAAAAGAATACTTGCCTGCTCTCGATTTTGACTATTTAACTCATCACATAATCTGATCAATCACAAGTCAGAGGCAACTTCTACTCACCGCAAAAATATTAGCTGTCTTTCAGTTCTGATGATTGGTATACCTATCTGAGTTGATATATTTAACTATGTTACAATTGATACCGAAGCAAAGTCTACCAGTTTGGCATGAAAAAGTTATGGCTGTACTTGTCAGAATGAATCACTTATAATAACTGCTTCTCTTGCTTCATGAACGTATAAAAGTCTATCAAAATACCACTTTGTTCTGAATTTGTATTCATAATCAAGCACTAACAAATCATTGAATGACATATTATGGAAATCGAAAATTGATATACCAATTTCGCTTCAGGGTTTCAACTTTTGGATATTATGAAAATTACAGAAATATTATTGTAAGTGGGGCGACAAGTTCTAGCTGAGACATACGCTGTACGTGTACGTACCCAATGGATTTGATTGATGCTTTCTGTATCATTTCAGTTGCCCAATTCTCATTCCCAATCAAAGTTTTTGAGTCAGAAATAAAATTCTGTCATAGGCAGATTCACAAATTACTTTGTTTCTATTTCAGGAATATCACTGGCCCAGAAGTGACAACAAGAAGGAAAGGGCAGCTGTATGAGGTATCGGCGATAGTGACCTTAAGGGCTCTTGAAGACCCTGAGGAATTCTGTTGCAAACTGCATATCTCGGAGGCAAACTACACGACGAGAAAAGAGGCTATTTTCTACCCATCAGGTGAGAATATTGATATTCCTGGAATAAGCGAAACTTAGCGCACAAGTATAATTTCAAAAATGATTATCAACAGTAATACACAAGTGACAGTAACACACAAGTGACAGTAATAATGAAAAAAGATACTACTAAGAATGAAATTCGTCGTGATTATTATTTTAACTATTTCGCGAACTGCCCAGCGGAAGAAAAAAACATTTCACAACCACACACTTCGGTTTTGTTTTGAGTCATTATTGTTCGAACGAACTTGTTCGTCCAACAAAAAAGCATACCACCGACGCAGTCTATGTGCCCCTTTATGTATTTATCCAAACGAAGATCCAAACGTGAAAAAGTAATCGTTGTTATGCAACTAACAAGTTATCAGTATGAATTTTTCTTTTTGATGTTCCGATTCCCACGGAGAGAGATATTCTGTAATGTTCAGAGAACATCGTGAGAACAAAGGGAAATGAGGTGTGAATTGGTGTTCTTGTTGAATTTCTGGAGGTTATAGTCCTCGGGAAATACCTCCCCTAGCAATGTGTTCCAGAGCCTCGCTGTTCGTTGGATCAACGAGTCTTTGGGAAGAGATGTTCTGCAGGTCTCCAAAGTGACCATGAAGGCGTGCGAAGCCTCAACTCGACGGGTTAATCTTGCGGGGACTGCCAAGGGAGGAACAGTTGTCGATATTTCAGAAGAGCATCGTCCATGAAAATATCTATAAAATAGAGCCAGATCGCAAACTTTTCTATGGTGTTCCAGAGGAGTGAGTGAGTTTGTGAGCGAGGCATTACCCACGAGACGAATTGCCAATTTTTGGACAGAATCCAACAGTTTCAGGGTATGTTTGGATGCTGCACTCCAAATATGGAAACAGTATTCCAGGACAGGTCGGATCTGTGCCTTATAGATCATAAGCAGCTGACTGGAAGTGAAATAGCTCCTGGCCCGAAACAGAAAACCAAGTTTTTTGGATGTACTTTTAGCAATTGATCTCACGTGATTTTCCCAAGAAAGGTTCTTGCTGATAGTGATATCAAGCATCGAAATGGATGTCTTCATAGGTATGGTTACTCCTGACAAGATCATGTTGGTCACAGTGAGATCGGCTCTTCTAGAAAAAAGGCATGCTTGTGTTTTGTTCGCATTGAAATTCACCAAGTTATTGGACCCCTATTCGAGAATTGTTGCCAAGTCCATATTCATGTTGTCAACATTTCTCCCTCGTTTGTTTCTGATTTGCCTATCTGGTATTGGAGCCCTGGAAGACTTAGTGGTATGGAAGGTACTATCATCCGCGAAGCTGTGTACTGGACATGAAGATGCTTTCAAAAAATCGTTGATATGGAGTAGAAATAGTGTTGGTGCAAGAGTTGATCCTTGCGGAACACCAGCATTTATGATGAGGGAGTCAGATGAAACATTGTCGATCACTACATGGAGGGACCTCTTTGAGAGAAAACTAGCTAGCAGAGAACATAGCTGGGGAGGCAAGTCATAAGATGAAAGCTTTGCGAGGAGTTCGTGGTGCCAGACTCGATCGAATGCCTTGGAGATATCAAGTGTCACGGCTAAGATTTCATCATATTTTCCAATAGAATACTGCCATATATGTGAGACGTAAGCGAGCAGGTCACCAGTTGATCTCTGATGACGGAAGCCATATTGCCTATCGTTGATAATACCTGAATGTACCAGGTATTTCATGAGCTCGATGTTGATAGGTTTCTCCATGATTTTTGAAATAATAAATAGCAGTGCGATCGGTCTGTAGTTGCTAGGTAGGGTCTCTTCGCCTTTTTTGGAACTGGTTGTACTCTTGCAATTCTCCAGTTGGACGGAAATATCCCCAATTTGTGAGAGTAGTTGAACAACTTGCAGAGAGCAGGTGTTACTTCGAGAGCAAATTTCTTGAGAACAATCGGTGGGATGCCGTCGGAGCCACAAGCTTTGTTGGTGTTGAGACCCAATGAAATCTTCCTAATAGTACGTTGGCGAAAGGTGATCTCGGGCATATGACTGTCAATTGGCGTTATGTTTGGAGGTTGTTTTCCCGATGAATCCAGAGTGGAATTTTCAGCAAATTAATGCGCAAAGATGTTGGCTTCCTCCTGGGCAGTTGTGACTAATGTTCCATCTTCCTTGGTTGAAGTATGGGAGACAGCGAACAGTTTCAATTGATGATTATACTAATGACTTGTATATTGATAATAATGATGCCTTATCGACTCGGGTACTATTTATATTCGGAGTCGATGATGAGTTCGCAATTTTCCGCAATGGGAATGGCCGTTACTTCTCGATATTGCTTACCTAGGTATTATCGCACGGTAAGCGGTTCTTTGCGAATTTCAAATGAACTGACGTCTATGAACTCCGCTGACCTGATCGAAAATTCAATGTACTGGATTTTTCAACATGGAAGTTTGAGTGATGTTGATTCATAGGCATTTTTTCTTCTTGGCAATATACAATCCTATTGGAACAAAATTCTCATTTCTGTTTGAAAGTTATGAAAACACTCACAATGTAGAGGAATAGATAATAGGGAATGAAAAATGAGAAATGCAGATCTGCTATTGGTCAATTCTAACCTTGAACGCGTTTTGAACCAATCATACTGATATTCCTTATTCCAATTCCCTAGTCTTTTGCATTCTATCTGAATCTGATAATATGTCACCTACCATCGTTCATCTGTCCTGTATGTGAATCATGTGTTTCCGAAGTATACATTTTAGGGTGTCACCATAAGAGAAATTGCCTCTTGATTGGCTATATCAATGAATCACCTCCCAGGAAATTGCTATCCACCCAAAATGAAATGAAATCATTGAACATAATTATATTCCTCATCATGAAATATACCAATCAGGCACCACCAATTTTGGAACGAAATCTGTTTAGATGAGTGATTAAAACCTATCAGGACTAGTTCAACCGCGGATTGACTGGGTGAACTGATATTTGTAACAGTGTACTAGGGAAGGGTGGGTCGCAAGGAGACGTGGGGACAATGAGACAGATGGAATATTTTCAAATTTCTCGGGTAAAAGGCGCTCTCATTTATTTCAATATATTATGTAGTTTGTATGCATCACCTGCCGGATTGTTGGAGTTCTATCTCTACTCGACAAATATTTGCAAAGAAATCCTCATTTTGAGGTATGTCATCTTTTTACTATTATTGATTTTGATATGGCAAATGTGATGATGAAAAATATCCGTGAAACCATATGATGGGCACATAATACTATAGGTTTGATTTGATTATATCTATGAATGAGTTAATGTGTAATTCAAGGGATGTGATAATCAAGGCCGTACTGAATCTCAGTTATCGTTTGGGCCACTATGAGACATGGATTTGCGGGACCCGCGTTACATCGTATGACAGGTTTTCTAAAGCCTTAACTGCTACTATCGTCTCATCATGTATTTTTTTTTTGGCCATTACTCCTCTGTATCATAAGCTAGAGAATGATTAATTCAATAAAATATTCTCCTCAAATCGAAGAATCGAAGATAATGTCTGAGAAAGGAAAGATGAACGAACTGTATTTATCTGAATTAGACAAAATATAATTCTGTGATCAGGAAACGGATGAAGAGCTACAGCCATAATAGAACACAACGTCCTAGGGACGTCCCCATTTGGTACAATTCAAGACCGAATGTCCCGGACCAAGAATATAAGTATCCTTGGGACGACCCATCCCGTACATTTCATGCAATGTCCGAGCAAGAACGTCCACGGAATGTCTTTAGGGACATCCATCTGATGTTCCGAGTAGTACATATTCTGGCATGACTTCAGATCTTATATAATGTCCATTCTAGACAACCATGAAATTACCCTGATGGTACATTCCTTCGAATATCTCTGCACATACGCCCTCAATATCTTTTTACGGACCATCGACTCGACTGGATGTTCTCATCAGTTATGCAAGATCTGGTCCTAAAGGAACCAGAAAAAATTCAGCCGTACGTCCGTGAGACATCTTATGGACATCCAATTGACATCCCTTGGCGTTGCTGATAGGTTGTCCTACGGATGTCCTCCGTAGTGCTTGATGGGGAGTATTGTAGGATTCAGGTATTCGATAGTTGTCCCAAGGACATCCCTCAAGAACGTCCCTAGTTGGTCCTCAAGTGGGACATTTGTGCGTTCCACAGACGTCCAATGGACGTCCACCGGTACCAAATTCAAACGTCCTATGGAAGTCCTGAATGTCTCGACAAGACGTCCTAAGGATATTCATGAGATATAATTGTGTAATTAGGGAGATGATGAGATTGAGGCATGTCCAGGAGCAGACGTGAGCTAGTTTTCAGAACTCCTGCATCATGAGAATAATATGTGCTGGTGAACTTCTCAGAAAAAAGGATTGATTACGTCGCTGAAGTAATTGAATTTGGTACAAATATATTGGATAGTTATCTGTGGAAGAGTACTGAGCTCTCTAACAGTTCTGTTTTTCCCGCTTATTCTGATGCAGCAGCAGTTGAACTGAATGATACCAAAATGATTTTACTAGATCTAGTTCAGATCGGAACCACCAAAAGGTAGCACGGCTTATCAAGTTTCGTATGAATTTTGACTCAATAGGAAACAGATAAATGTGCATTGACCCTTTGACTTTATGTATAATTTATGGTTATCTACGACTGATGTTATATGTTCAATAACCATGAACATTCATTGTTTTATTTTTCTCAAATGAATGAAGTTATTTAATCAGAGACATCCTATTCAAGGCATTTTCTCATTGTACCCCACATGTTGGGCCCTAGTGGGACGAAAACACAAAAGTTAGAAGAAACACAATTTAATCAATTCACACTTTTTCGAGTTGACTTTGGTATACATCATGT